TGTAATTATTGATTTATACTTTCCCATTAAAATTCTTGAAAATAACTTTTAAGAGAACAAGAGAAAGTCCATATATCATACTAACGGGGGTGGATTTTGAATGAAGAAAGAATACTAAAATTTTGAACCAAGAGCTGAATTCTGATTTTTGTATGTCTTATCTACTCGCCTAATGCTATAGTTGTTGATGTTTGCTGTTGGTAGCTTGTAGCTTGTTCTGGAAATTAAATGATTCATAGATTATAACTGTGAAGAGCAATTAGGCTACCTATTAATTGTTGTCATTGGCTACCAAAGACTGTCATAAATTTTAAAAATGTTTATGGATCTTCTATATGTGTCGTTCTTTTAAGGCAACTGTCATTTAGCTTAGCTTGGCACTGGTAGCTTTAAATCAAGTGGCTTTTCTTAGTGTTAATTGTTAACCTTTTGGGTGTCTTACTATCTTGATTTTTACATACCAAACATGGGCTGTGTTTTTTGGCATTAATTTATTTCCATATGTCTTCCTTGTTTTCTTTTTGCAGTCATTATTGAGAGGTAGATTCTTGAGAAATGACCGAATGGCTGAAGGGGACAGATCTACCTCCATTGCGGCCAGTGAATTAGGCTTATTAAGACAAAAACAGACTGTATCTGGTCTAAGGTAATTCATTCTTTATTTCATATAAATATCAAAGAATTTTTTATTCAACAAAGTTCATCTTATGCTATATTCTGAGACAATTCCACTCTTTTTGCTTCCTGTGTTTTCTTTAAGCATCTTTTATTATACAGAACTTGATTTAAGCAAAACTTTAAGCAATGGGAGCTTGTATTTTTTTTAGTAAATTGTACTGTCAGTTTGTCCAGCAGAGCAGCATATGCAGTTTCTGTCTTATTACATCCATATTCACCTCACTCTTCATAAAAACTCAAAGCTGCATTCAGATTCTTGAATTTAAAACAAGGGATTTAGATCTCAAATTTAGTTTGGACATTTTCAGTGAAGATTAAAAAATAATGCCTCTTCATGTAATCACCCTGAAGAGGTGGCATCTAGTAGGTCTGGAGTTCAAATCCCAACACCTGTAACCCCTTCCTCTATTCCTAGGCTATGGCCTCCTATGTACCAAAAAAATGATGCCTCTTCAATGATTTAACTCAAATAACTGATCAATATTCTGGCTTGCAGGAAAGAAACTTTCTGGTGACATTGAAGTCATGGATATTAGTAATACTATCTGTGAATTTATTGAGCAATATGATAAGAGGTTGAGATTGTAATTGTTTGTGCTTTGCACATTGTCTTCATCTATTCATTCCAAGTTCTTACATGAGACCTCATGTTGTAGTATGTAGATATGAAGCATTTCGTCTGGTGCTTGACTGTGACTTCTGGGAGATCCATGGTTTTAACTTCAAGTCATGAAAACAGCCTCCTCTAGAGCAGGGTAATGGCCACCCACATCTCTCATCCCCTTCCCCAGACCTTGCAAGCATGCCAGAGCCTTGTGTACTAGGCTTCCTGTTTTCAAACACTTCATTGACATAGCAAAACGCTAGGTGAAGATGCAATAATTTTGTAGTGCCTGTGCATTTCAACTATCATGTCTTAATATGTTAGTGCCAGGATGTAGTTCCATGTTTCTGCTGTGATATCTGTTAATTTCCAAAATCCCTTTTTTTACCTTTTTGCCGAGTGGTCGGTTGTTTGTTCTGAACCTAGACCTTTTATACTATTATTTTGCAGTAGAGCTTATGCAGGTAACCTAGAGTTCAGTCCGTCCAGCAAGTCTCCAAATTTCAGGGAACTGGGAACTTGAAAAATCTTTGGAGCACATAAACACTTTTCATTTCAATTTAACTATTATTTTGAGTAGTTGAGTGAATGTTGCATAATTTACATGGCATGGGACAGGTCCCTCATAAATGATAAAATGACAAGGTCGAATTGTAGATTGCACATTATATAGGTGTTTTTGGCCAATCATTTTATTGATTGTTGCGCTGAGTATTGCCCTTCTATTTAGTTATCATGGGTTACTACTAATACGAGGATGTTATGCCAATGAGAGGGTAAACTGCTAAAATAGAATATTTTGCTTGTCTTTTTCTGAAATTGCTTGACTAATTTTGTTTGGAGGATTTCTTGGATACTTGATTAGTTGAAGTTACAAGCATGGTCAGGGTTGAATTAGATAATAAGTTTCTAATTCCTTATCCATTTTATTTTATGATGTCATTTTCACCTTTTGCTACTAACATTTTGCAAACTGTGCCTTTGTATCAGGGGTGGGTTTTTCTCCAGACTGGATAGTTCTGGTTGTGGTCCTGCAAGCAGTAACCGTTCTGATACATCATCTAACGCTGACACTAATGGTAATAAAAATGAACAAAACCAAGTAAATAATTCACATCAAGTCATAGACGGATTAAATGACCAATCTGAACATGAGAACGAGGAAACTGATAACCCAAGGTTTTTGGATGGTAGAACTGATTTAGAGGGTGATGTTTTTGACAATGTAAGTTGGCAAGAAACTTCTGCTCGTGTAGAAGAGTGGCAGGAACAAGTTTCTGAGAGTGTGGTTAGAGACTGGCAGTGGTCTGTCAGTGTTGAGTCTAATGAAAGCAGAGATGTTATTGGACAAGTCTTGGATGGGGACTGGCTAGAAAATCTTGCTAATGAGTCATCGCTTGAAACTTTGCAGAATGAAGCTGGAGAAAATAGTCATCTACAAGAATCTGGTGAAGCATCTTATGAACATTCTCCCCAGGATGGTGAGAGAAACGGAGCCAATGGGCTAATGAGTGACATGGAAAATTTGGAAAGGAATCCAGTTGAATATATTGATGGGCAAGAATCTGCTTCTCAAGTTGAACAGTTACATGAAGAAGTTCAGGAAAATGCAGAAGCAGACAGGCAGGAAGCTAGTATTGAGTATAATGAATTGATGGATGTTACTGAAGAAGCCTCTGACATGCACCATGAGGAAGGTGGGAATGGAGATGGAGGTTATGATCATCTGCAAGAAGCCATTGACGTGCGAAATGAGGATGTTGGCTTGCATGAAACCACACGGAATTGGTTGGAAGGGTTTTCTAATCAAGAACCTGCAACGATTGGAAGAACAGACACCTTTTATTTTCCTGATAATGATAATGTATACAGTACAGAACTAAGGGAGCTCTTAAGCAGGTGAAAATTCTATAACTGTTGGCTTTATGAAATTGGATTTTTTAATTCAGTATTTTTCTAATCTAAATTACTTTTAATTTTGTAGGAGAAGTGTGTCCACTCTTCTTCATAGTGGTTTCCGTGAGAGTCTTGACCAGTTGATACAATCATACGTGGATAGGCAAAATCATGCTTCTACTGAATGGGAGCAACATGAAACATCTACTACTCCTGCATCACTAGAACAAGATCTGGAACAGCAAAGCAGGGATCAGAATGAGGGTCACGGGGATGCTATTGAGAATCCTCCACTTGCTCTTCCTTCACCCAGGATGCCACTTACACAACCGTTCTGGGACCAGGATTCACACCATTATAATTGGGCGCAGCAAGATGTGCATCAGCGCTTTGGCATTGTATGTCCATTTCTTTGTCTTTCTTGCAATTTAGTTCTTTTCTCAATTATCTTTCAAAAATTTGATTAATCTACCATCCTATTCTTTTAATCGATACTTCTGATAATAATCCAATCTTTTTGCCTACTCTTCGTTTGGTCTCCATTTTAATTGAGTTGTGCTTCTAATTTGGTGTAGGAATGGGAGATCATTAATGATTTGAGGATTGACATGGCTAGGCTACAGCAAAGGATGAATAGCATGCAGAGGATGCTGGAGGCTTGCATGGATATGCAACTTGAGCTACAGCGGTCAATACGACAAGAAGTTTCTGCTGCCCTGAACCGTTCAGCTAGTTCGCAAGGTTTGTTTCTTCTTTCCTAGCATATCTGCGTACTTGTGTAATAGTTCCTTCAGGATTATTCTGGGAAAGTGAATCCCTAATCTTCTCTCTCAAGTGGCTCCCATTTCTCTTGATTACCGGCATTTAACCTTGAAAGGCTCCAATTTTTTGATTACTCACAAGGGATTGGGAGGAAGAAAAACTCTAGCATTGACAATAAATAAACTGCTGGTTTTCATGTTGTAACAATATTCGTACTATATTGAAGCTGAAATATTTTCATGCTGAGGTTTGTTCGTTATTCTTTCTTATTCTTTTTGTTTGTTCAGGGATGATTGATGACAGCTTGCCCAAGGATGCATCCAACTGGGATAATGTCAGGAAAGGAATCTGTTGTATATGCTGTGAAGGCAATATCGATTCATTACTATACAGGTAAGTCTCATCAAAGATTATCCACCATTTTCATATATATATATATATATTTAAGGCCTTTTTTCATTTCTGTATCTGCCGTATTGTTACACAGATGTGGGCACATGTGCACCTGCTCAAAATGTGCCAATGAGTTGGTTCAAGGTGGAGGAAAGTGCCCAATGTGTCGGGCACCAGTACTGGAGGTCATCCGTGCTTACTCAATCCTTTAATATGAATAGTATTTATATAATAATAAAAGAACAAAATATAATAGAAAAAATCTGGAGTAACAATTCTAGAATCTTTCGTCAGTTTTTTGCTCCTGGATCACTCCAAGTATCTCATTTTCCTTTTCCTTTCCTCTTTTTTCCCTCCTCCTTGGGCCCTTAGCCGTGATGTGATATACAGTACATAAATTGAGTGTACGATTGAAACAGAAAATGTCATCTTTTTTAATTCACTATTATATCGTTAGTCCGTGATTTGAAATTTATTGGATTATTTTAAATATGATATATGATAAAATAAAATAATATAAATATAATATTATTTAAAATTATAATAATAATAATAATATTTAAATATAATAAAATAAAAAATTATATTTTATATTTTTATATCAATATAAATTATAATATATAAGTTTTATATAAAATTTAATATTTTATATGATTAAATCGTGATATTTAATTGGGAGTGTAAATTTTAATTTTAATTTTAATTTCGTCCGATAGGACTCAGATATAAGCGAAGAAAGGCGACTGTTGCAAGTTCAAAACATCACTCAAACGTAGGTCGGACTTTTGGCCCAAAATAATAATTAGATGCCACCGTGCATCAAGTCTTTTTCATGCGCCATCGGTTTCAATCAGTGTCATAAGGTGCCGCCACTTGTGGTTTCCTGAGTCTTCCGTTGTAATGCAAACTCACTTTCTCCAGCTTCGTGTATGGCTAAAGAAAGGTACTTCTCGACAAAAATTAATCAAAACCCAAACGGGAAAGCCATAGATTTTCCTTGAAACTATTGCAAGTAAATAAGTAAGAAAAAATTTTTATGTACTCCTTTTATTAACATTTACACGTGTCACCTTGTAAGTATCAGAAACTCAATGTCCTTGGCAACATTGCTGGTTGCAGTAAACTTGAACAGCTATTCGTTCTCCTCATCCTTGATGTTGTTCCCATCACCATACAGGTGTCACCGATCTCAACCGTAGATGATTGGCCGACACTCTGATCAATTCTCTCCTGCATTACTCCCAATCCACCATCGTCGCCCTTGACCTCCAACAGCCTGGTCCCTCTACAAACGGGACACGAAACATGATAAACAAGCCACGTGTCAATACACTCCACATGGAAAACATGTTTGCAATACGGAATCGTTTTAACACATTCCCTCTCTTCGAACTCGCTCAGACAAATGGCGCAATCTATCTGGTACTTGGCATTCCCATGGTAAGAATACACCGGCAGCGATCGAACGGTTGTTGGGTCGAGTCCTTTACGTGAAGCTGAGCCATGACGGTGATCAGACGGCAATGGAAAGGGGTCAAGTGGGCCACCACGGTAACGTCTTCTACGAGAGAGATGGGCTGTTGTGTCTTCAGACATACAATGAAAATAGATAGAGAAAAAGCCCATGAAGAAGAGAGCAGTGAGAAGAACGACTATGGTGAGAGCCATGGAGGAGTCAACAGGAGGGTTGTGCAGGGATAACTTATTGAAGTAGGACGGCGGAGATGAAGTGGCGTTAGTGGTGGTGGCGGTGGAGTAGGGAGGGTCATAATAGAGGAAGAGTTTCCGGGTGTAGGGTTTCATTACTGGTAGTACAGCTTAGTTTTTGTTTTTTTCTTTGTGAATGAAGGAGTTGGGGGGATGTTTAATGTGTAAATGACGATATAAATTTGAAGGGAGGATAAGGGGGATGAGGTGGACGGTTGGATTCATCAAAGGCTGAAGGTGATGTAACAATACGACCAGGCTACTGATTTGGACAAGAAGGTCCCACAAGCTGATCTACACGCATTCTTTTTGTTTTTTCTTTTTTGCTGAATGAGTATTTTGATTTTTTATGTAGAGCCAGGCTTCTAAGATCTGTTAAAATTTGGAAATATATATATCAAGTTCTAAGTGATTAGTTACGTAAATTAATCGAATATAAATGAATGGATATCGTGATTTGTTTATTTATTTTTAAAATTATATTTTTATTTAATAAAAAATTTATTTTATTTCTTTAAATTTAATTAATTTAAATAATAAAATATTTATATTTAATTTATATTTGATTTAATTAAATAAAATAAATTTATTTAAATTATTAAACGATTATATTCACAAAAATATATAAATAAATATATTTAAAAATAATAATTAAATTATAATTAAATAAATTTTAAATAATTATAAATAAATTCAAATGAATATAAATTAATTTTAAAATAAAATAAATATAAAAATATAAAAATATAATTTTATTAATATCATTATAAAATAACAAATAATTAATAAATAAATAAATTTTCAATAAGTTTCATATAAATTTATTTAAAATATAAAATAATTAAATAATTTTTTAAATTTATTTAATAAATTAATATAAAAATACTGTTGAGTTAAAAAAGAAGGACAAACTGAATCGTGCCGACACTGTCACCATCTTCCTCAGGGGAGTAACTGATTGCGCTGCTACATTGTGATCATTGTCACATGCAAAATATATAGTAACAGTATTATTTTTACTACATATACAATTATTCTTCTGCTATTATTATATTATAAGCTTTTAGATATGCAACGTTTCCATTTGAATATTTTAATTCCAGTGCGTTGTATTCCCCTCTGTAATTTTATTTCAATAAATTATTTGCAAGTTCAATAATTGTTACAAAAAGAAAAAAATAATTTTTATTTTTTACAAAAAATCACTGAAAAAATAAATTACAAATATTATATTTTAAATTTTAAATTTGTTAGATATATTTTTTTAAAGTTATTACATAAAATTTTTATCTTTTCCCACATGATGTAAAACACAACAAAAGGCTGAAATTTGATATTATAGTACGTAAGAAAATGCATTGGGGCCAACAAGTAACAGCAAACCTAAATCCTAGCAGCATCCCAGAGGACTTACAGCGTGTTTGGTTCACTGAAATTAGGATTTTACTTCACGCGTTTTTTGTAATCCACTTTTATTCCGAGGAAGAAAATGATATTCTAACCAATTAGTCAATTTCGGTCAAAGTCGGAGTTACCATTATTTTCAAATACTCGTTATTTACAATTTTGCCGATCCCGAAAAATCAAAATTTCTTTAAAATCCTATTTTATCCCCAATATTTTAATGATTTTTCAAAAACACCCAAATACAAAATCATTGGATTTTATGGGCAGCGGCACTCCGACCACTATGGATGGTTGAAAAATCATCAAATAGCAACCACGATAAACAAGCAACACAAAAATTAAAAAATAAAAAAAAAATGAAATGAAGGAGAGAGAGGAAAAACGGAGGAGGCTGGCGATGGTTGAAAAGTAATGCCTATTAGGTGGAAGATTTAGGTGAGAGGAGAAACATATTTCATTTTTAGGTGGTTTGGAGCCGCAGAGATGATTTGTTTTTTGTTTTTTGGTGGAAAACGTGGGCTTAAAGGCTAGATCTAGGCTTTTCTAGGCTGTTTTCGAAAAATCAAATAGATATTGATGAAAAGGGATTGAGATAAGTATGTGGATGAAATTTGGTTGAAATCGACATCGGTCAACAACAGTTGACTGTTGTCGCCGACGCTGATAAACGACGATCAGTGGCGGCCACAGGGCTGGTGAGATTGTCGAGAGGCTTGCTATTTTGGGTTAAGAGAGAAAGGGAAATGGGGAAGAAATGGAGAGGGAGAAAGAGAAAAGTAAGAAGAATTAAATTCATTTCTCCCTCTCCATTTCTTACTTTTAATTCTTCTTACTTAATTTCATTTCTCCCTCTCCATTTCTCATCAATTTCATTTCCTTTCTATTTCAGTCCAGGTGTCATTAGTTAGTCTGTTAATTACATTACAAACAAAGTAAAATTAATCCAATTTGGACCCTTTTTCATGCAGGATGCATAGTTGGTGATGGGCGCTTTACTCCCAAGCTCTCCAGGCAAAACTAATCTCACTGGCCCTTGAATCTCGCTTCAAGATAGTGTCTTTCTTTCGGTGTACTTGGAGAGCTTGGTTGGCTTAGCTGCAATCTTCTCAAACATGTCATTCATCAGGCTGTTGATCACTGACATTGCCTGGGAAGAAATTGCCATTCCCGGATGAACCTGCTTTAATACCCTGAACACGTATGTCTCGTACGCTTCATTGCCGTCGTAGTCTTTTCTATTTCCTGTCTTTCTCTGGACGTTTTCATTGCTTTCTTTTCCTTCTCGGGTTTATCCCTTCCTTTTCCGCTTCTCCACCTTGGGTCTTTTCCTTCTTTTGCTCCCCGGTCTCTGCCTTCCTCTCCTCGTCTTTTGTTAGTGGTGGGGGTGGCTCTTCTATTTCCAAACCTCTGGAGGTCTTATTGCTTGGTTCTTCTTCCAAACCTTTGGAGGCTTCATTGCTTGGTTCTTAATTCTTCCAAAACTTTGGGAGCCTCATTGCTTGGTTCTTTAGCAAGAATTTGCTGTCTGCTGTTGTTTTTGCGGTTCATCTCTCCTAGGTTCTTTCACAGGAACTTGCTCTGTCTGCTGTTCTTTTTGCACTTTGTTTTTGCCTGGAGCTTCCGCTGGAACCTGAAATGTCTGGGGTTCTTTTCGTGCTTTTTCTTTGCTTAACCCTTCCAAACGAATTTCAGTGATTATCCTTTCTTGTTCCGCTGCAACGTCTTTAAAAGGATCCTTCTCCAACGGTTATTGATCATCAGTCTCCTAAAAAAAAGAAAATGATGAAAATTTTATTATAATGATTTGTATATTACAATAAGGCTTAAAGTTTATTTTTATAATAGTAAAATATTACAAAATAAAAAATATAATAAATAAAAATAATGATTAAATCAATTTTTATAATTAGTTAAATTAATATCTAATATTCTCTATATCAATATCAAATTAATTTAGAATATTATTAAAATATTATACGAATAATATCATCAATATAAAATATTATTAGAATATCATTGATATCTCCACAAACTTAAGATGAAATGTAGAGGCCAAATTGAGTTTGGCAACTTGGACAAGAAATTGATAAGGTGGATGTGATTTTGTGAAGATATATACCTTTTTATTAGCACTGATAATAGTAACAAGTCAAAGAGCTTAGGCAAGCAGATGGTGACGAATGAAGTAATAATAAATTTTAATATGTTTAGTATGCTCATGAAAAATATCATTGTGAGTTATTTGAATGGCACTTTGATTATTACAAAATATAGGAGTACTAAATTGATAAGAAATACCCATATCCTAAAGTAGCCATTGTAACCATAAAGGTTTTGATGTGGCATTTGTAAGAGCTCGATACTCAGCTTCAGTGCTAGAGCAAGATATCACGATTTGTTTTTTACTTCACTAAGAAATAAGATAAAAACCAAGAAAGAAATAATAGCCTATGATAGAACGACAATAAGTAGGATCTTCTACACTATCAACATCACAATAACAATGCAAGTCCAAATATGAACTAAAAAAAAATGCAAACCATGAAATATAGTACCCTTGACATATCATAGGATTCGAAGGATAGTAGCAAAATAAGTAGATCGAGAAGCAGAGAAAAATTTACTAACTAAATGAAAAGCATATGCAATGTCTAGACGAATAAATGTCAAGTATACGAGATTACCCATCAAAGTTTGATACAAAAAAGGGCCTAGAAGTGACGTACCATCAGAAAAGAAAGCTTCAAATTTTGTTCAAGTGGTGATGATGAAATCTTACTATTAGTTAAACCTACTCGAGTAATAATATCAGAAATAGAAACATACTTTGTTTGAGACAAATGTAAGCTAGTAGAATCACTAGTGACTTCAAAGCCAAAAAAATAACTTAAAGGACCAAGATCTTTCATCTTAAACTTAGAATGAAGAAAAGTCTTCAGATCTTGAATAACATTTACGTTATTATCCGTAATGATCATGTTATCCACATAAAATAAGATAAGAGTAATACCATTTTTAGCAGTTCGAGTAAAAAAGGCAAAATCATGATTACTAGATGTAAAACTAAGTTATCCAACAATGGTACTAAACTTCAAGAACTAAGCTCTAGAGACTTGTTTAACACCATATAGAGCACGTTAAAGACAATAGACTATGTTGAAAGGTACAGATGAATTAAGAAATGACTTTATATAGACTTATTCAATAAGATCACCATCCAAGAAGGTATTTTTGACATCCATTTAAAAGGTTGGCCATTTTCTAGCTATAGCAACAACTGATAGTGAATGAACATATGTGAGATGTGCAACTGGAGCAAAAGTCTCTTTATAGTCAATATCATATTCTTGCATAAATCCTCAAGCAACAAGAAGATCTTTGTAACATTCACTAACCCATCAAATCTAGTCTCAATCTTATAGACCTATGTACAATCAATCACTGACTTATCAGAAGATCATTTAATAATATACCAAGTATGAGTGTTCTCAAGAGCCTAAAGCTCTTCTACCATTACTTGTTGCCACATAAGATTAGAGACAGTTTCATGAAAATTGTGAGGTTCATGTAATGTGGCTAAAACATAATAATAATAAAAATCACAAAGTTGAATGTTGGATTCCCTTACCTAAGTGAAACGACAAATTAAAGGCGATATGTATGGTAAAGGGACAATTCTATCAATAGAAACCTTAATCAGATCAGACATAGTAAAAGTGAAAGAAGATGGATCACTGTTTGAGTCAGAAGTACCTATAATAGTCTTTTCATTTGAAAAAAAATCATAAGATGAATTTGTAAAAATACATAGAGAAGAATATAGTGAATGTAATAAGGGCACACTAGTAAACTTTTTATTTTTTCAAAAAACTATATGTCTTGAGATGCGAAGACATTTAGACACTGGATCATAACACCTATACCCTTTATGTTCTATACCATAACCAAAAAATAACACAATCTAGCTTTATGTTCAAGTTTAGTCTTTTTATGAATAGAAAGTAAAACAAAGCAGCACAT